AGGTGAATGGATCGAGCTGTGGTACACATACACAGCAATCAAAAATTATTGATAAACTCATCCAATTTGCAGCAACATGCATGGAGTTGGAAGAGGTAATGCTAACTGAAATAAATCATAAGGAGAAAGCTAACTGCTGGATGGTGTCACTTATATTTGGAATATAGAGGAACTAAACTAAGAATCAGAGAAAAACAATCTTAAAAATTAACCCTTGAAAGCTGACTATAGAACTGAAGCATCTAGAGAGGGAAGAGGGTGGCTGAGGTGCAGGAACAAAGAGGGAAGGAAGCACAATGGACTATGGGAATGGGTTATGGGTGATTTGGTGGGGGGTGCATTTTGGTGGTGATACCTCTTCCCTGATGGGGAGGATTAATGTTACCGCAATTAAAAGAATTTATTTAAGAAAAAAGGAGAAATGCAGTTTCTTTTTTATTATTAATTTGTCAGACACTTACATGTCAAATTAACGTGGGGGTTATGCTTTTAGTACTCCACCTGTGCACTCTTCACGCACCTTTCACAAACAATCAGAAAGGGTTTTCTTTATAACATTTGGCTAATTTTTAAAGGTCAATCAAATATTTCAACTCAAAGCATTCTGATTTTGTTTAACTGACAGTTATATATCAATACACCTTACACTATAAATTAAAATTTACAACCAAGTCTTAGGACTTCTTTACCACAGACAGTGAAAATAAGTTGTTAATGCTACTTCCTGATTTTGAAAAACTCAGATGTTTTGAATATCTACAAAGAAATAGAGAAGTTCTTTCTCTAGAGCAAACAATTACTGTTCTAATCTCCTATAGTTACACGTTACTATTTTTTTTCAAAATAGAAATGCAATTTTGATTCTAGTGAGGGCACTCTTTTCATAAAATAAAAAATATCTAGGGCCTCCCTGGTGGCGCACTATGAACCTACTGGCAGCCACTGCAGCAAGAGTTCATCCCCAGCCAGGGAGCTGCCCACATGGTGCAGCAGACGTCTCCTGTCTCGCCCACTGGTCCCCTCAGCATCGTATTTCAGTCAATCCATTGGTTCTGCTCCCCACTCTGTCTCTGCTGAGTCCTCTCATTCCCCACACCTGTAGCCTGTACCCCAGTTCTTATATGCATAAATAAATCTTTTTAAAAAAAGATAGTGTCCTTTAAAAAAAAAATTTAGGCTGCTACTCTAGAAATCCCCTTTCAGAAATACAACAGAATCAAATGAGGAAGTTCTGCACAAGTGTAACAACAAAGATTAATTTTCAATCTGTTAATAACACATATCACTCTTTTATTACCTGGATTGGAGCTTAATTATTAAAAATTAAGAATTCATCATTTTATTAATTTGTTTTAGGCCAGGAAAAAAACATTCCTCATTTCTGCTCATTCCTTAGTCAGATGAGATTCTTTGTTGGATGGAATCTTAAATTCCAATAGCATAAAAGAGTTGTATGTTTCTTTTCAGCTGTTTTATATTTTTTATTAGTATGTTACTAATAATTAGTGGGATTTTTCTTCCTGCAATTAAAATGTCCTTAAAGTGAAGCATCTCAAGTTCAAGACTTTAAGAAAAGCTTGCTTAGCAAAAAATAAAATGCTGATTTGAAAATCTGGATAAATGTAGGCATATATCAGAAATGTCAGTTTTCTCAACTTACTCTAGGAGAAAATGAATTAAAATACACATTATTAAATGTATTAGATGTAATTTATATGAACTTTTTATAAACTGTTCCTTTCTTCTTTCTTTCAAACCAAACTATGATTTATAAGGATTATTACTTTTGAGGCAGGAGAAATCATTATACCATATGCAATTTTCAACAAAACATTGCCAAATTAGACATTGACAATTAGATCATTTGAAGCACTGCAGTTTATACGACTAAATTATCATTAATAAACATTAATGATAAGCAACTTTCCATTGCATTAATTGAAATGTGGATTTTAAAAAGGATAATAATGTATCTGCACTTGATTGAAGGCAATGAATTTTAAAATGGAAAAGTTTTATACCAATTGTTTCCTCAACATTTTAACCATTCTACTACCCCCTTCCACATAACTTAGTACTCCACACAAACTATAATCCAATTGTTTGCCAAAGATATATAACACATTCCCATTTTCATGCTTCGGTTCATCTTGTTCTACCTACCTACTTACCTAAAATTTGTCCTCTGCCCCAACTCACTGTTATTAACCCATCCAAATTTTACTCACTAAAAACTGTTTAACTATAAAGTTAAAATCTGCCTGGCTGAGGACATAGTTAAGAAGATTGCATATGATTATTTGCTAACAATATTATTTTTTTAAGATTTATTTATGCATACAAGAACTGGGGTACAGGCCAGCAGTGTGGGGGGGTGAGAGGATTCACCAGAGACAGAGTGGGGAACAGAACAGGCAGATTGACTGAAATGCACTGCTGAGGGGAGCAGCAGGAGAGTCAGGAAAGGTCTGCTGGGCCATGTGGGTTTCTCCCTGGCCGGGGATAGAACTCGTGCTGCAGTGGCTGCGGAGAGGTTCATAGGCTGCGTCTCAACCCCTTGCACCACCAAGGAGGCCCCTGCTAACAATATTATGAAAGAAATTCATGAATTGGGTAACAATTTGCCATATATGAGCTCTAAGATCCCATATATATCTAAAGTATGTTATAGGGCCTCCCTGGTGGTACCAGGGGTTAAGCACCGCACTATGAAGCAATCCGCAGCCTTTGCAGAACGAGTTCCATCCCCGGCCGGCCAGGGAGCAACCCACATGGCGCAGCAGACCTCTCCTGACTTGCCTGCTGTGCCCCTCAGCGGTGTCTTCGGTCCGTCTGCCTGTTCTGTTCCCCACTCTGCCTCTGGTGAATCCTCTCACCACCTCCCGCATCTCTGGCCTATACCACAGTTCTTGTATGCATAAACAATCTTTTTTTAAAAAAAAGAGAATTCCTACCAAATAAATTGGAAGCACTTATTTAGAAACTAAACTTATTTTTTTAATTTTTAATTTTTTTAAACAATATTTGCTTCCCCCACCCCCTCAAGTTGAGTCCCCATATAATTTCCTTCCCCAAGGCACCCGTGCACCATCACCACAGTTTCCTGTTCTCCTCCTTCCCGCCCTCTGATCCCTCTCCCTCCTCCTCCCCTGCAGTATGTCTCTGATTTGTAATTGTCTGTTTTTGCTTTGTTGTGTTTTGTACTGTTACTATTTTTTTACACTGACGTCTTATTTGGTTCCCCTATATTCCTGCTGTAAGTGAAACCATCTGATATTTTTCTTTTTCCTTCTGGCTTATTTCACTGAGCATAATTCCTTCTAGCTCCTTCCATGTTGCTGCGAATGACAAGAGTTTATCTTTTTTGATTGCGGAATAATATTCCATTATTTATACATACCACATCTTCTTGATCCAGTCATCTATTTTTGGGCATTTGGGTTGTAGAAACTAAACTTTTAAAACAAGAAGTAAAAAAGAAACTATTACATAATTTAAAACTTTTTTTTAGATCTTCAATCTCTGAAAGCCTGATGAAAATTGCAGAATTTTCCCCAGAAAAATGTACACATTGAACACATTGAACCCTACCAGGGATTGAGTAGTCATTCAATCATTCTATGTGTATTAACTGAATACTCTCTGCTGTGTCTGCGGGATCCAGAATGAAACAGAGACACAAGCTACTTTTTCTCATGAGCTTACACTGTAAAGACAGAAAATTTAAAAATACATAAATAATACATAAATAGTTACAGGTTGGGTATGTGCTACTATGACAGAGGACGGGGGAGGACAAATTAGAAAATACCAGTTAGTTCAGGCTAAAAAGTTAGTATTTCCATAACCACTTTTACTTAAAAAATATTTTTATTTTCTTTGAATTTTTATTATTGTGTCTCACAGGAAAGGCATGTTTTATTTATTAAGATGTGTAGTGGTCTGGTGGACTTAAAAATGAAGTTTTAGCATCTTAAAACTTACTTTTATTGTGCTACTTATAGCTTATTGAAACCATAGGTATATATGATTTTTCTTTTTAATTATGTATACTTCAAAAGAAACTGGAAGAATGTGACCAAAATTTGACAAGATATCAAGCTTAATGACATTCACTATGCTCAATTATTCTTCCTCAAACTGTTACTTTTTCCTTTTACAAAGTTTCCTTGACAAACAACAAAAAACTCCCTTCAGGAAAACTAATTCAGCTATGAAGTTGAATTTAAAAGTTGGTCCTTATTGACGTTCAGATTAAATGGTTTGGTTTTCAAACCTAGCGTAAACATTCTTTGTTTAACATGAAATTACTTTGACAAAAAAAAAAAAAATTAATAAAAAGCCCTTGACATATAAAATTTGTGTGATTGCATATTCAAAATAAAATCATTTTAGTATTTAATCATTTTTATAAAATGCTTTGAGAAAATGTGCTTAGTTATATTCATGTCACTAGATTTTTATGTTGTCGCTGAAAGATATTTAATAAGCATTAATTAGACAGAAAGCTAGTAAATAAAAATGCAAATCTACTATAATAGCATTGCTTTATATTAGGTCTTCTAATGAATTCTAGTTTTTGTAATTCATATACATGGCATTTTAAATGATAAAGTTAAATATTCTTTTGTTGATTCTGCTTGAAAGTACCATTCTTAGAATTATAATAAAATTAACTATAATTATGATTAATTTCTGACACTAATGCAAAAGCAGTCAACTACCTATAATACTATTAGCTACATAATTTACTGAAACATTATTATGTGTAAGCTTTTATATTATTATAAAACTTTACATCAAAAGTAAAACATCAGAATGATCACTATATAGCCCAAAGTCAGTATGAACATTTAAGAAGTTTTCATTGTCTTCTACTGAAAATAGTACTCTGATTTTGATTAAAATAGAATGAAAATCCTACACATTTGCAAAATCTCTACCAGGTAATACAGACACAAATTCACAGAAGGTACACAGAACAAAACAAAATATCCTTCAATCCCAAATTTGGCTTTTATTTTAAAATACATTTTAGCATGGAACTATTATAGAATGGAAAATAATAAAAGACAAAGAAATGAAATATTTCCAAGTGTCCTTTAAGCTAGATATAAAAATTAATAAGATAGCATAGACCCAAGTTATGGGAAAGTCTCTAAAATTCAATTCATTAAACACATTAAAAAAAAAGTTTTTTGCACATTTTCCAATGTACCAATATGTTCCTAAGTATCTTGGCTTCCTATTAACTAGTAGGTAAAAGTTGCAATTTAGTGGCTTCACTAAAAATTACCAGATTCAGTATTGGTAAAAATTACTATGTCCTTAAATTCTCAATCAGAATTATAAAAATATGAGCTGAAATAGTTATGCTGCCCAAAATAGAAACATCTCAAGTGATACTTCTGGATAATCAGATAGATATTGCACTGTAGTCAGTAATTCCACACCTGATGCTCATTTATATGGAAAGTTAATTCTCTTCTTTATGAAAAACTTACTACAAATAAACTTAATTTAACCCAATTACAATTACACCTCAAAATATAAAGGCACAGACAGAATAAAGAAGAGCTTAATACTATACCCAAATTTTCCACTGTGAAAATAATAAAAAGTGGAAAAAAATAATAGATTCTAAATACTAATACCTTTAGATTTTATAACTTGCTTTGGGTAACTAATAAATGGGTATTTAAAGTTAACACTGCTAAATCCAATAATTTCCAAATAATTTAGAAAAATGGTTTCTTTACATATGAAGCATGTGCATTGTCCCCTAAGTTTCCATGACATTTCCATTCATTGGAATATCTACCTGCAGCATAAACAATCAAGACAATGTACAAAAAAATATATCTCGTTCCTATAACTTACAATGCACAGGAAAATACCTTAAAAATGGAAATATTTATCTAACTAGTTTCCCATCAAATTAGTGAGAAAGTTTAACCCATTCCACATTTCTTTCTAAATGCAGGCTAAAAAATTAAGAGTGGCTTACTTTTAGCCCTGTTACCTTGACATATTTTTAAAATACTTGCCTGATTATATGTATATTAAAGTTAGTATCTTATTTTTATATCACAGTATATATGGCATCTCTTAATTCAGCAACAGAAAGGCACAACTAGCAAGCAATAAAATTCAGTACCTGAATTATTAAACTGATGTCCAGAACAACTGCAAATAAAGTACATTCAACACAGTGTACAGAACTGGAACAAAAAAGAAATCTAAAAACTTATTTTTCTGAACATTTGGTCCATTAAAATGCCTCCCATGTTCAACACCATGGGTAACAGGGAAAATGATGGCAGTGTAAAAAGAGGCAGTAAATCAATACGTGGTAGCATGTGAATTCTGGTCTAGTAATTATGTAGTCTGGAGATGGCTCCCATGGTAAATGTTAAATATATCTGTTAATAACAATATGCCTGTATTAAGTCCAAATACACGGGAACAACTGTTTGCATATTATTATTGATTTTATAATAAACCCCCAGTTTTAAAAACTTAGGCATATTATCTTATATATAACATATACTAGATACATACGTACCTATCAATATATATTATATATAATTTGAATCCATAACAGCATAAACTGTCCAAATATTACATGAACATTCTAAATGGATACATATCATTTGAAATAGCTCAGCCATCTTAAATCAATATCTGGATGTGCAATGATAAAATGCACTGGCTCTTATGAATTTACTTAAATAACTATTTAAGTTAAATTCCTGCAAAAGCCTAACTCTGAGTCGGCTTTTAACTAGAAAATATTTTTAGATATCATTAATTGATTCCCACCTGTCTTATCATAAGCAGTCTTTCTTCATCAGGATATACCAATAAAAAAAAATATGTAAGGAGCCAAAAAACTGATAGTGAAACCGACCATTCCATAGGTAATGTAGCGGTAAGGAAGTTCAACTTCCATGTGCTGTCTTGCTTTTCGAATATCATCACATGGTATATTAAAGACTTTACAGGCTAAAGGAATGGTGATCTTTTTCATTACAAATCTGACTAATAATACAAATACCATCCCTATGAAGATCCGCAATATGGCTTTTCCAAATAGAGTCACAGTAATGGGAGGCCTAGCTAAAGGTAACATATCCAGGGAAGGATCTAATACTAAACCCACTTTATAAGCAACATGAGATCCACATGCAATTCCAGCACCACTTCCTAGAATCTCGGCTGTGTCTCCTCGGGATGTACTCCAGGTATCAAGAGTGAAAGAAAAGATCCCCAATGCTAAATGAAGCCCGATGATAATTAATGGAGCATATTTGTGAGTTTGGTTGAAGTTGTCAATCAGGTCCATAAACGGATAGAAGATAGCTAAGATTAAAAGGGTATACAGGAATCCAGCAATAATGTCCTGGGAAAAGAGAAAAGTAGAGTTGTTTAGCAGTAAAAAAATACATGTATTTCATATTTCAACTACTACAGATATAAACATTTTAAATATACCATTCTCAAAGCAAATTTTATCAACAGACCACACAGTAGGCACTAAAGACTGTCATAATAATAAAAGTTTACTGATAATAATAAAATAATTATTTCAATAATTTTACATAAATTAACTAATTATGCACAAATTTATAGTTAAATCCTGAACAATAAATTATGCTTAAACTATGTAGTTCTGATTTGTGGAAGAAAGTAAATTATTTTTTAAAGAAATCACCTTCATTTTCATGCATTTCAATATATAATTATTTTCATGATCCAAGAGGATACAAGGATTAGGTAATTCCTTTTATTCATTCATTCATTCATTCACAAAACAAATATGTAGTGAGTACATATATGTGCCTGGTACTATTGATACTTTAAGGGCTAAGGATACATTGCTTTAAAAATGACAAGATTCCTGCTTTCACAGAACTTCTACGTCAGTCGGGCTGGCTGACAATCATGTGAGTGAACATGGAGATAAGTATTACAATTTTCAAATAGTTAAAATATTATAAAGAAACTAAAACAGACAACAGGATAATATGATAAAAGACCCTATTTGAATATTATGGAAATCTTTCTCAGGAAGTGACACTTGCACAAAGAACAGATTCCAAAAAGGAGTTGGTCCCAAGTTTCTTTTTTTTTTTTAAGATTTGTTTATTTATACAAGCACTGGGGTACAGGCCAGAGGCACAGGAGGGTGAGAGAATTCACCAGAGACAGAGCAGGAAGCAGGATAGGCAGAAGGACCAAAGTACACTGCTGAGTGAAGCAGCAGGCATGACAGGAGAGGTCTCCTTCACCATCTGGGAATCTCTCTGGCCAGCCAGGAACCGAACCGGCGCTGCTGAGGGTGCAGACAGCTTCACAGCGCTGCGCTCAACCCACTGTGCCACCAGGGAGGCCTGGGCCCACGTTTCTAAGGAAATGTGCTGCTGATGAAAGGACTACCAAGTGCCACGGCCTTGAGGCAGAAAATAACTTAGTGAATTTGCAAGGAACAAAGAGAAATCCAGTGTGACAATAATAAGCAAAGAAAACAGGATGTGATAAGAGATCAAAGAAAAAGGCAGAAGTCAAATCAAGTAGGGTCCTTCTAGGCTACGTAAGGAGTTGAGATTTTATTTCAAAAATGATAGGGAGCCACTGAAAGATTCCAAAGTAGGACTATTACACAATCTGATTGATATTTGTAAAAGAATACTCCATATGCTATGTAGAGAATATAGGAGAAAAGTACAGAAGACAGGAGGCAACTGGAGACATGTAAATCAGCAAGAAAGGTCGACTATATGGCCCATAACTACACAAAGAGATGGATTTAGAAAAATATTTCAAAATTAGAACTGACAACTTCACTTGATGATGAATTGAATGAGGGAGAGAAGCAAAAGAGAAAGATATCAAAAATGATTCTCAGTTTTAGGTATGAAAACCTGGGGAGATATAGAAGATAGATTACTGGAAGAAATAAAACTTATTAAAAAAAAAACTTTGTTGAATCATTCTTTGCAGGAACAAAAATATTCCAGGATATTCACCTTAAAATAAAGAACACAAAATCCTGGAATCTACTTTCCCTATCACTGAAAAAAACCGTCAAGAGTTGCTTATATTCACTGCCTCCACTTCTTCACTTCTTATTTTTTCCCTTAAACTCATCACTGCACTAAAACCACTGGCCTCACAGATACTAATTATATTTATGCTGCCTAAAACAATGTTCATATCTCAACAGCATTCAATATCATTAAGCAACAGACTAGATACTCAATGTTTTCCTGTCTTAAAATTTTTATCATGTAATATTTGGCACACAGAAAAAGATGTATATATAAAATTATAAAATTAATATCTATGGAATTTATGCCCAATAAAATTACAGTATTACTATAATTGTGAATCTACTGTGTATTGTCTCCCAAACCTATCACTCTGTATTCTTCCCACACTATCATAAATCTGAATTTTAGCTGAATAAATAACCTGCTCTTAAAAACTGCTTTATGAAACAGGGCGGAGCAACATGGCGCGAGGAGACGCTGCGAGTAAGATCTCCCATTAAAAAAAGTTAATAGGGAGGAAAAGCGGCAGGTCCCAGTGAGAAGTGGGACACGGAAGATAAACGGGTGACTCCAGCAAACTACCCGAAGAAGAAAGTGGCCATAAAAGAGGACCAGAAGGGAGGGAAGCGCAGAACCCTGCTCCCCTCCCCCGCCCACAGAGGCGGCACTCTCCGACCCGCAGAGAGGAGGAAAACAACAAACCAAAACAACCAACAAGAACAAACGACGCAGCAAGCGGGACTGGGAGTGGAAAGGAACTATTGCAGCCACCACACCCCGTGAACGGGAGCTGAGGCGAACCCTGCAGGATTCGCCGCGGCGGTGAGCGAACGGCTCCGGGCGCCATTAGAGAAGAACAAAGACCCCGGGAGACGCGCACACAGCCCGGGCTGCCGGTAAGCTGGCGCGGGAAAGCGGCGCGCTCGGGGAGCTTGAAAAGCAAGTGCAGACCAGAATCGCGGCTGCCCAGGTCCCCGCGCCTGCGACCTAGGCTTGCGGGGAGACGACCTAGGCTTGCGGGGAGACGCGCGGAGGTCCTCACTGAGGTGAAGGTCCCTCCCTGAGTAAGCAGGAACCAGGCACCCGGGCACGGTAGCGGTGCAAAAGGCGCCATTCCCGCGCCACTGAACTGGGCTACAGCCCTCGTCCTGGAACTGAGGGCTTTGAACTGAGACCCGGGGCACGAAAATTCGGGGCGTGGGTTCTCCACGACGGTGGGGCACAAGGCAGACACAGCACCCCAAAGCTGTTGAGGTGTACCCTACCATTCCCGCTCTGTTCCCTGTCCCACGGGGTGGGGGGGGGCGAAAAACAGCCCCCCAAGGACAATAGAAGAGATCTCTGGCGCCACCTAGCGACCAGGAAAAAAAAAGTCACTAACACCCCATAGAACAGGAAATTTCTTAAGACTGCTTGAAAAGGGCAGAAGGCTTCTGCAGTGGCCAGCCGGGAAGTTATTCCACGCCAGGGCCCTTCCGACCAGCAGTCTGAGCCCACAAAGGGAGCAGGCACCCACGTCCGGGGCAGACCGGGTGCGCAGAAGAGTGTGCCTGAAACCGGAGGCGCAGGGACTGCATCCCGCTTCGCCATTTGAGAACAGGGACATTTCTTCAGTAAAAACTGCCTAAAACCAGCAGAAAGCTCCCCCAGAAGGCAGAGATGGCTCCTGGAAGAGCCAGAGGGGAGTGGAGAAGTTCACCCAAGATGCCAGTCAGTCTGAGCATCACAGTGTCCCAACGCATACGACAAATTAGAAAACAGACAGTAGGGAGTAGAAGAACCACACGCAACCTAACAACTCCTCAGGAAAGAAGCACACCACAAAAAGAAAACCACTCCCCAGATTGCAACGACAGCAACTTGGAAGAACTTCTGAGCCTTCCAGAAAGAGAATTTAAAACTGCCATGATTAAAAAAGTGACAGATCAGAAGAAGGAAATTGAGTCCCTAAAGAGGGAAAACAATGGTCAGAAGAATGAAATTGAGTCCCTAAAGAGGGAAGTAAAAGAAATGCAGGAGATCAAAGAATTAATGGAGGAACTAAAGAACTCCGGGAAAAGCAAGGAAAGCAGAATAGATGAAATGGAAGAACGAATAAGTTCTCTTGAAGACACAGAAATAAAAAGAACCAAAACAGAAAAGGAAAGAGAAGTACGAAGGAAAAAGAATGAAGAAAGACTTCGAGAACTATCTGACTCCATGAGGAAAGGAAATATAAGAGTTATAGGAATTCCAGAAGGAGAGGAGAGAGATGTAGGAACAGAGAAAATATTCCAGGAGATAATTGAAGAGAACTTCCCAAATGCGAAGAAGGAGCTGAAAATTGATATACAAGAAGCAAGAAGAACACCAAACTTCCACAACGAAAGGAAAAACACAGCAAGACACATAATAGTAAAGCTCCCAAGAATCCAGGACAAGGAAAAAATAATGAAGCTGACAAGAGGGAAGAAACAGATAACATTCAAAGGAAAACCAATCAGGCTGACATCAGACTTCTCTGAAGAAACACTACGGGCAAGGAGAGAGTGGAGGGACATAGTCAACAGACTCCAAGAAAACAGATGCCAACCAAGAATACTCTATCCCGCAAAGCTCTCTTTCCTCCATGAAGAAAGAATATGGACCTTCCCAGACAAAGAGACACTCCGGAATTTCATTACGAATAAACCCCCACTCCAAAAAATACTACAAGGAATCCTAAAGCCAGAACCTCAGAGGGACGAATAACAACGAAAGAAGACCAAAAAAAAAAAAAAAAAAGTTATTAAAAGAATAAATAAAATCAAAGGAAAGACAAACATAATGGCAAATACAGATGCTAACATATCAATATTAACTCTAAATGTAAATGGACTAAACTCTTCAATAAAAAGACACAGAGTTGCAGCCTGGATTAAGAAACAAAACCAACCTTTTGCTGTCTCCAGGAAACACATTTAGCTACAAAAGATAAAAATAGGCTCAAAGTCAAAGGATGGAAAACAATCCTACAAGCAAATGGGCCAAAAAAGAAAGCAGGAACAGCTATACTTATATCAGATAAAACAGACTTCAAACTCAAAAAAATAAAAAGAGACCCCAATGGTCACTACATTATGATTAAGGGGACAATACTTCAAGAAGAAATAATACTCATTAACATATACTCACCAAACGAAAGAGCACCAAAATATATCAGACAACTGTTGTCCTCTCTGAAAACAGACATCAGAGAAAACACATACGTAGTGGGAGACTTCAACACACCACTATCAACAATGGATAGATCAACAAGACAAAAAATAAGTAAAGAAACTAAAGCTCTAAATAAGGACCTAGAGCATTTGGGCTTAACAGACATCTACAG